CTGGGTGTTATATGAAAACAATGGATCGTGGATCACCACATCAAAAACCAATGATGTATTGTATGGTGACTAACATAACATAATAAAATTAAAAAAAAAAAAAAAAAAAAGCTTCCCTGATGATCCTAATGGGCAGGCCAGGCTGGGACCCACTGCCCTAGAGGGCCAATATTCTGGTGGAAGTTCTTGTTTATGGGTTGAGGCAAGAACTCTGCAAAAAGAAGGGTCCCTCCTATCCTCCAAGCTGGGACTGGGGTAAGATGAGTGAGGCATCTGCCTTGGTCATTAAGGTAAATGGGGTGTGGGGAGGGGATGGAAACACCCCAAAACTCAGTAATTAAGATAAATATTTTAGGGGTTCCTGGGTGGCTCAGTCAATTGAGCTTCCAACTCTTGATTTCGGCTCAGGTCATGAGCTGAGCCCCGTGTTGGGACTCTGCACTGAGTGTGGAGCCTGCTTGGGATTCTCTCTCTCTCCCTCTGCCCCTCCCCCTCTGTCTCTCAAAAAATTAAATTTTAAGATATTTAACACAATATTTTAAAAAATCAACATTAACACAAGGAAATCCACAATGAATAAAATTATCAAAATTTTAAATAATGACTGGATCTTTAACAGCACTGTGCAGAGCCATATTGGAGCCTGAGGCCCAAGGCATAGCAGTAATCCAGTCTCTAGCCTATACTAACCAACTCCTAACCCCTGGGGCTCAACAACCCGGCTAAGGACCACTCAAGAGGGGGCTGCTCCCCCAGTTTGTGAGCCACCTTCCCTCCTCCTCCGCTGATCTTGGGAAAAGTTATGGGCAGGTCAACCTTTGCCCTCACATGGTTCTGAAATGGGTCATAGCAGTTCTTTAAATAAATTAACCACGACCATAAGAAGAACAATAGCAGATATTTATTGAGTTCTAAGTACTTTACAAATATTAACTCATTTAATCGTCACATGGATCTTATGAGGTAAGTGCTATTCTTATCCCTACTCACAGGAGAGGAAACTGAGGCACAGGTTCAATTAATCTGTCCCAAATTACACAGCAAGTGAAGAAGCTGAGTTGAGAATCAAACCCAGGCAGTTTGACTCCAGAGTCCATGCTGGTGACTACTTGCTTTAACAGTGTGACCCAGGTCAAAAATGCACCCGTCATTCCCATTCTGTCCCACAGTGTGCCCAGTGATGGTTTCAATATAGCTCAACAGAGCCTAATAATGAATCCACACAGTAACATTAAAAATACCCACCCACCCCACAAACAACCAAACACCCCAAAATAACATCAGCAATAGAACGACCACACTTGAATAATGTGAACCCTCAGTTCTTTATTCAATTTGGGGCAAGAAATTAAGGTCACCAAATTAAGTTACGGGGTACAGAAATCTGTTTCCTATGCTGGTTGTCGCTGCCCTGAAGTGGGCAGGAGGCCACCAGGGGGCTGCCAAGGCGACGCGTGCCAGGGCTCTGCAGGACCGGGGAGGGGTAGGACAGGGAGCCTCAGGGGAGCCTCAGGGATCATCGGATCGTGTACTTGTCCCACTTCTTCTCGGGGTCGTAGGGCTCCCAGCGGCTGGCGGGGAAGATGTGCTTGTTCTTCTCGTACCAGCTGCGCAGCACCACCTTGCCCGCGTGCGACTCGTCCTTCTCCATGGTGGCGTCGCTCAGCAGCCGCACGTCGTCGTGCACGTCGAAGCTGAAGAGCGGCCCGCTCTTGCCCCGGGCCTTGGTGACGATGAAGTCGTAGAAGGTGTGGTAGTGGGGCAGGATCAGGTCCTCCTTGATGTACATGAGCTGCTCCACGCCGGCCGCCCGCAGCTCGCGGAAGTCCTTGCGCAGCCCCTGCAGCGCCTTCCTCAGGAACTGCTGCACCGTGCTGCCCTTGTGGATGCGGACCGTGCGCCGGTGCCCCGAGCCGTCCCAGTAGCTGAACGTGACATCCATCTCCTCGCGCTTCACCATCTCGCGCCTGGCCTCCCACTCCTGCCGCAGCTGCTCCCGCAGCCGGTTCTCCTCCTCCTCGCGCTCGCGGTCCGGCAGGAAGCTCGTGTCCACGTCTGGATTCTTCCCCAGGTTCTTCTTCCTCTTGCTCAGCCCCGCGGACCTGGGCCGCTCCCCAGCCGCCGCATCCGCGTCCGCGTCGCCCGCGTCACCCTCGTCGGGCGTGAAGGACAGGCTGCAGATCTTGCGCTTCTGCTCCTGCTTGCGCTCCTTCTCCCGCAGCGCCTCCAGCTGCAGCCGCCGCGCCTCCAGCTGCTCCCTCTTAGCTAGCTGCCTCTCTCGCTCCTTCAGCAGGGCCTCCTGCTTGGCCTTCATGTCGTTCAGGGTCACCAGGCCCACCGTGCTCGACTTCAGCTCGGCCTCCACGGCGTCGTAATGAGCCGAGAATTTCTTGTCCACCTTCGACTTGATGATGGTCTCCTCGGCGATCCGCTGCTTCAGCACCTCCATCTGCTCCTTCTGCTTTTCCCGCTGCTTGATCAGGTGCATGGCCCTGCCGGCCTCGCGCATCGTGCCCTTGTACTGAGCCATGCTCGCGGCTCGGCGCACGCGCAGTCACGCCCGCTTCCAGGACCTTCCCAACGCCCGGGGCTTTCGGGGCTAGCTCCCGGACTCTGCAGCAATGAAAAGCGCCTGAGTTAGAAAGGGACCAGAATAACAGCTTCATGAATACTTCGCGGCGGTGCATTCTAATAGAACTTTCTGAGACGATGGAAATGTTCTGTAGCTGTGCTGACCGATGTGTGCAGCCGTTATGAGGCTATTGAGCCCTTGGAATGTGGCTGGGTGCCGTCGAGGTGCTGTCTTTTTATTTTAGTTTAGTTAATTTAAATCTAAACAGCTGTGTGTGACTAGGAGCCCCCCCCCCCCCCATACGGGACAGTACAAGGCTGGGTTTTGAGAGCTGCACGTGGAGAGGGCGGTTTGACAGAGCAAACTCTTCCCTGTGCAGGTGTCCTCATCCGTCCAGGTACCACCTCAAGCACACACATGCAAGAGTCCGGGCACCAAGAAGGCAGGCCAGCCGTGGCTTGGATTCGGGTGTGTTGGCCGGTGGAAAGCAGAGTCTGAGAGGAAAATGCCCACACTGGCCCTGGGGGCGCAGGCACCTGTCCCCTCAATCAGATGCAGAGCACTTCTTGGGGATGCAAGGGAGCGAGGGGAGAAGAGTCAGACAGAAGCACCTTTTAGTACTCTCCTAGAGGGCAGTAATGTTAGCTAAGCTCCCATTAATGTGTTAAGAGTGAGGCAGGACCATGTTAGTTGCTGTCCCTCAAGAATAATTCCTGCAGTGAGGATTTGTTGAGTCGGCCTTAATGCCCCGTGTTAAAGAATTCAGAAGCACTGTGGGTACAGCCCCGCTTGCTGTGGAAAACAGGACATCTAGGGAACTATAGAAGGCAGAGGAGATCTAAGTAAAAAAACTGCTTCTTGGTGTTTCAGCCAACTGGAGTGAGGCCTCCCCCTAACTTCACTAGACTCAACTGGAGCTGACCATCCTCCCTTGGGACCAGTCTCAACCTGCCTGAGGCACCACAGCTCCATCATCCTCTGGACCCTCACCCCCATAAACTCCAGACAGGGTCTCATCCAATCATCCCTACTCTCTTAAACTCTTCCACTCTGCCCTCTAGAAGGCAGCACCTCATCAGCAAACTCTTCTAAATCCTCCGCCACCTCTGGGAACCTTCCCCTTTACCTTCTTGTCTCACGCTGGAAGCCTGCTGTTCCCTGAGAAGACCATTTCTCCCTGCAGCTCCCTAAAGTACAGGTTGTTTTCCTCTGGCGTCTACATCATCTTAAAGTCTAAAAGTGCAATGAGTGTCTTTGCAGTTTTGAAAACATCTCTTCTATTTTTTTTTTTTAACTCCATCTCCCTTGAAGCTCATGCAACCCAGTGATACCATCCCAGCTGTTGCTGTCATTTCCGTAATTCCCCGCCCTCCTGAACCCTTGAGGATTAGCACCTGGCTCAAATGCCTTCCCCCTCCATCCTCCAACCATCCTAATCCTGGATGTCATCAGCAGAACCCACCTGACACCCAGACCTCCTCGCTTCCTTTGTCACACCCTAGTTCTTATACTACCAGCAAGTGCCCCATCTCCCAAATGGGAACTCAGTCACCTCCTTTATTTTCAAATTACTTACTCCAGTACCTCAACTTGAACTGTCCTCTGATAGCTCAAGACCTCCGATCCAAAGACCCAGCACCTCTCCCTTATCATCACACCCGCCTGTCCTTACTCCTTCCTTACCTACCAGAGGTTGCGCAGATTCCCAATCTCTCATGCTCCTTTCCCTCCTGTTATTCTTGCCTGGAAAAGCTCTCATCCTGGTTACACCTAGCCCCTGTCTTCTCAACTCCTAAACCCAGGCAGCTGGAGAAAATAGCACTGCTGTTGCGGGCTTGTCTCACTTTAAGTTCATGACCTCAAACCTCCAAAGGGCCCTCAAAACTGTCTGGTAATTCTATCATGCTGCCTCGGTGAGTCTGCTGTCTTGCCCCCCAACATAACTATTTCGTGCTTCCTCCTGTATCTCTAACACCTCTTCTCTCTCCTACCTCCCCCGCCTCCCCCAGGTTGGTCGGTAAACCTTTATCAGCGCACCACTGGATACAGTTCTGTCCTCTGATTCAAACACAGTGATTCTTGGATAATCAAATTTGCCCCCGTCCCAAATTTCATAATATAAAGACTGCATTCAGTCTAGTTAGATCCCCCAAAATATGTGTTCTGTGAAAAAAGGGTTCTCACCTCAAGTAACTATGGGAAATTCTGAGTTAAATTTGAAGAGTCTCTTTACCCTGAGTCTCTGATATGTTTCCACCATGACTCTCCAAGAGGGGTATAGTATTTCATATTTCCCAAAAGTTTTGGATTATTCAGCATTTCTGCATACAGAGTAGCTGTTCATATTTCTCAAAACCAGTGCTTCATGGGACCACATTTAGAAAAACGGGCTGTGAACTTTATGCCAGCCTTTCAGCTAGCCCCTCCTAAAAGCACAGATGCCTGTGGGCACAACCTCAAGAAGAAACCTTTTATGTTATGATAGTCAAATATGACACCTACATGCCAAGAAGAAAATAATGTGGTGTTACCACTCACCAAAGTCGCCAAACAAGAAACCCAGGTGTTTTCCTAGACTACTGTCTTTCACACATAGACAATTAAAAAAAATTTTTTTTTTCATATATTTTCCTTTTCTCTCCTTTTCTACCACTGGTCTTAATGCAGGAATTGTGCTTTTTTCTTCCCCACCTAAATCCTCCTCATAGGTGTCCCATCATCAGTTTATTCTCATTCTTTTCTATCTTCTATACATTATCCAGTGATCCTCATAAGAAATAAAAATAAACCTGATAATGTCACTCCCATTCTTGAAAAATCTCCTCCAACTCTCTCTTTTAAGATCAAACTGGAATGTTAAATTTTTCCTACCCTAACCCTAACCCACCCACTCATTTCCCAATGCTCCACACCACTTGGCGGTCACCTGGAACATTTCAGTGTTCCTGACTACACGATGCCCTTTCGTAAACTGTTTCCTTTGGACGGACTCTTCCTAGAGCCCTGCTCTTCATGGTGCCAGCCCTCAAGATCAGCTTCAAGGTCATCTCCTACAGAAAGTCTCCAGCAGCCTCCACTTGCCACCACCACCCGCAGATACACAAAGTTACCAATACCTTCTTCTCTCCAGGCTCCCTGTATGATGACCTTTATTAGATAGAACATAAATCAGATTGCTTGGCCACCTCCTTTTTCAATTAGATAATCCATCCAGCCACACTTTAATCCAATCAAATATAATATGGCCACATCAACTATAATTGCCCTTTTTCCAATCTAATCAGAAGCCAAATGTCAGTATAGTCCCCAGACCTCATCATTCCTATTACTATTATCTAGCAACCATCCTCTTAACTCAATCACAGTCTTCAAATCCCACAGCCAGCCAGGCTCCAGAATTAAAAAGGTTAGTCTGAAATTCTTCCAAAAACTTGACAAAAAACACAAATAACAGAAGGAAGCAGATTTATCCTTAGAGTCTGAAATCCTGATTTTAAGAATTTCCCCCACAGGCTCCAAGATGATAACCACTTGTGGCCTCAATTCTCGATGAAAAGTACCTCACCAAGCTAAAAGCTACTTTTTCAACTCTTTTAAACTGTATCAACAATAACAATAGCAACCATAGATGGAAGGGAGCAACAGTCTGCTGCAAGGAATCTGAAATGTTGATTAAATATGCAAATTTAGAGAAAATGTCACCTCCTTCCATCTTAGCCACAAGGTACAACAAATATGCAAGCAAACAGCGGCGATTTTTAAACATCCCGCAAAACTCAAAAGCTACTGCCTTAACTATTTTTTTTTTAAGATTTTATTTATTTATTTGAGAGAGAGAGAATGAGAGAGAGCGAGTACATGAGAGGGGGGAGGGTCAGAGGGAGAAGCAGACT